GTTGACTGCCAAGGGCAAGAGGGCTGTTGGGCATCGAGATACCCTTACCAGCCAGGTGCCCTTGTGCTGTCAGGGTGGCCCTGGGTCTGTCCTTTGAGCCTGACCACCTGGATTCCAGCCCGGGGCTGACCCCTGTGACTGTGGGTAGGTGCCTGGCCTCCACGACAGGTGGCACCTGCCTCATAGGGCTGACCTGAGGGTAAACCATCCCTTTAGATGACTACACGTGCCCACACATGATAAACTAATGGTGAGCTGTTGTTCTCAAAATGATTATTCAGAACTTGAGGTCCCCAGCTTTAGAATGAAGAAATGAAAGTGAACCTCCGTCCCTGGGTGCTGGAGGAGTGGTGTGTTAAAGGGGGCCCATCCCCTGCGGTCCTGGAGGGGAGGCCCCAGAGGCTGCGGTGGTCCCTTTGGTGGGGCTGGAAGGCGGGGCTGGCCTGGGCACTGTGGGCAGCTGACTCAGCCCTGCTTCTCGTGTCCGCAGGGCCTGCCAGGTGCTGAGTGGGGAGTTAAGATCAATAGCCAGCTGCCCTGCAGAGCCAGCCGGGGCTCTGGGGGCTCCATTGCCCAGGACAGGACAGTGAGATGCTGAGGGGCTCCCATCCAGGCCCCCCCCCTCCCCTCAGCCCGACTTTGAGACCTCTGGAGCCTCCCTGCGCCTGGCTGGGGAAGACCAGGAGCTCCATCCAGGGGCAAAGACGGGAGTGGAAACCCAGGGTGAGGGGGATGGCCAGAGAGTGGGAGCGAGTCCCCACACCTGCAGTGAGGGTGGGGCGTGGACAGGGCCGAGACCCCCCACTGGCCTTTCTCTCTCCAGATCTGGATGACTTAAAGAGTCTGCATTGGGCCCCGAGATCTCACCCTGTCCTGTGGGGTCTGAATCCCCCACCCAGGGCAGAGCCTAGGGCCTCCCCACCCCCTACCCCTTAATGCAGTCCGGCCAGGGACCCACGCGGCTCTGGCGGGGAGCTGTTTACCCAGCCGGGGAGCCATGGTTTACCAGAGCCGCTGGCCAGAGGACAGGGCACGTGGAGTCACAGCAGTCCAGGGCCTCCGGCCCCTCCTCCGGACAGATAAGGTGCACCACCTGGTGTGTGTTTTGGGGGTAGGGCGTTGAGCAGATACTGAGGGGTCAAAGAGTGCTCATCTCAAGGCCTAGCTACTGGCAAAGGGACAGTGGGAGAACTCCCTGAGCAGCTCCTGTGGGCAGAGGTGGGGTTGCCAGGTGGGAGCCTCACTGCCCCCGGGGCCTGGGCCCACTCCCTCGGAGGTCTCCCCAGAGGAGGGGACAGGGCCAGAGCAGTGTGGCACAGAAGCCTGTCCGGTGACAGAGTAGTGGTGGCTGGGTGCAGACCCCCTGGGGCTTGAGGTGTTGTCGTCCGTCCCCCCCACCCCCAGTCCCTCTGCCTGTTTGGCTGCATTGAAAGGAAACATTGTATCTCTACAAGTGAAAAGAGCAGGGTCAGCTCATTCGTCTCCAGGGCCCTGAGGACCAGACCGAGTTTTTTGCGAAAGACCTGCCGCGCACACTCATGCTCCCGGGTCCAGAAAAGGCGGAGGCCCGGTTCGACCTGCCTCTCTCCAGCTGGCCTGACACCCTCCCACCTGCATCCTGGGACCGCGGTTACAGGTCCTCCGGAGCCGCGGGTCTGTGTGTGCCCGCCTCGCGCCCCCGCGCATCTCCCCCGCCGAGCACGCGCGGCCTCTAGCCCGCCCCCTGCTCCGGGAGCGCGCAGCTCGGGTCTCCGCCCCGCGCATCCCTCTCCTGCTCTGCGCACCCTCCAGCGCGCGCTCGGCTCTGCTCCCTGACCACTGGCCTGCGCGGCCCGGTCCTCACCCGCCTGCATGTGCGACTAGGGTCCCTGCCCCGCGCACGCGAGCACTCACCAGGCCCCGGCTCAGCTCCGTCCTTGCGGCGCACGCGCTTCAGGCCTGGGGATGGGGGAGCTCTGGTGCTGCGCGACCGGCCGCCGGCGCGCGGTGAATGAGGCCCTTGTGCAGCTGCCGCGGGCCAGGCCAGGAGCGGGAGGCGACCCCACTGGTGCCTCGCACCCAGGTTCGGCCCCTTGCGAAGGATGGAGAGACTTTCCGGCCTGTCGGTGGCCCAGTCTGCGTCTCAACCCAGGCCTCGCTGCAGGTGGAGTGTCGGGGTGGGCTGTGCCCTTCACCTCGCTGCTCAGCCTCCTCCCTAGCTTAGATCTCTCAACTCCCCCTCCAGCCGGGGCCAAGGCTGAGGGAGACCAAGGCACCCACAGTAGGGCCCAAGGACTGCTCCTCCCGGGTTTCTTGGCCTGGAGTCACCCCAGGGTCGGGTCTCCTGGTGCCTGGGGGCAAGTGTACTGGCCCCCAGGGCATCCTTCCTTGCTGAGGCTTGCTGGGCCAGGGTGACAGGCTGGAGATGCCTCCGCTGCTGGGGCGCCACCCCCGACACTGAGCACAGGAGCCGCATTACCCGCGGCCAGCTGTGTGCCTGGCCCAGTGTCAGGATTTGCGGAGAAAGCCGGGTGCCCGCGCCCGTGCCTTCCCGTTCCACGCGGTCACCATCTCCGCGCCTGCCCCCCCACCCCCAACGCACACGCTGTGGGACTTTGGAATCGTCCGCCCGCGCATTTGGTCTTTACCCACGTGCTGGTGAAGCTTGTTTTCTTTGCTACCGCTTGTGACCTTTGGATGGGGGAAAGGTGGTGGCTGGGAAGGGGTGAATCCCCGCAGTGCATCTGCTTGTCTGGCCGCGGAGGGGCCAGCGAGGGCCAGCAGGGTGTGCGGCCAGCCCTGGAGGAGCAGGGGGCCCTGTGCGTGGTGGCTGGATTCAGGCCCCTGCGTGGGCTTTGAAGGCCGGACCTTGTACATAGTGAGGGGTGGGGAAGAGGAGGACCCGGAGCGGGGGCAATGACTTGTCCAGATCTGTGCTGTGTCCAGGGGACAGCGCTGGGCTGGCCAGGCTGTGGCACGGGATGGGGAGACTGACAGACCCGGAGCCTCAGGGCCAGATTCCCCGTGACCCATCCCCTGCAGCCACACCCGCGGACAAAGCTGGGGCCAGCAGAGGGCGCATGGCAGGCCCTGGCCGTCTGGCCTTCATCCCCAGATCAAGAGGTGGATGGACCACGCCTCCCAGGGGAAGCCCTCAGATCCCCTGCCCCCCACCACCCGCCCACCTGGGCCAGCCCAGGCTCAGTGCTTGCTCCTGCCTACTTCACCCACCCCAGGTCCACCCTCGGGTATCCACTTCCACATGGGCAAATCTGAGACCCAGCTCAATGTCGGCTTCTCCCTGCCCGCCCCTGTGGTGTGCACCCTACCTGCCCATGGCTGAAGCCGAAACCCATGGGCCGTGCTGGACTGCCCTCACCTCCTTACCTCCTAAATCCATCCACTCCAGCTCCTTTCTGTTCTGTGGCCGCCACTCAATCCAGGCACACCACCCCTCCCTGGGGGGCCATCTTCTGGCTCCAGTTAGCCGCCAGAGGGATCTTTTCAAAACATCATGACCATGGCTGAGTGGTAAGTTCACGCTCCGCTTCAGCGGCCCAGGGTTTCGCTGGTTCTGATCCTGGGCGCGGACCTAGCACGGCTCGTCAGGCCACGCTGAGGCGGCGTCCCACATAGCACAACTAGAAGGACCTGCAACTAGAATATACAACTATGTTCTGGGGGGCTTTGGGGAGAAGAAGGAAAAAAAAGAGATTGGCCAATCTTTAGAAAACAAAATCATGACGAAAGGCAAAACTATGGAGACAGTGGAAAGATCAGGGCTTGGGGCGGCGAGGGCGGACAGGTGGAGCACAGAGGACTTTTCAGGCAGTGACGCTCTCTGTGACACTACAGTGGCGGACACGTGCATTATGCGTCTTTCCAAACCCATAGAAAGTACACCACTGGGAGTGAACCCGACGTCAGCTGTGGATTTGGGGTGACGGACACGTGTCAGTGCAGGTCCAGCCACTGTAACGTGTGCCCCCTCCGGTGGGGATGCTGGTGGTGGGGGAGGCTGTGCCTGTGTCCAGGCAGGGGAATGGGAACTCTCTCTATCCCCTCAATTCTGCTGTAAACCTAAAACTGCTCTAAAAAATTGTCTTAAAAACAAACAAACTAAAGAAGGCATGGCACTGCTCTGGATCCCTCAGAGGGCTCCCCATTTCACCCTGAGTCAGGTCCCTCTGCACCACGGTCACAAGGCCTCATGCAACCTCATCCCTCATGACGCACACCCTTACTCTGACCCAGGTCCACTCGCTGCCTTTCTGCTGCTTGGGTTCCGTGACTTCCTTTCTGCCTCAGGGCCTTTGCAGGGTGGGTCCCGTCTGTCCACCAGGTATTCTCATTGCCGACTTGTGCCATCACCTGATAGATCATCGTAGATGTTACCTGGGCGAGGTCCTCCCTGCCTGGCCTTGTGCTGCTTGTCACACCCTTTGTGGCACGTCTGATGCTCCCAAAGAGTCAAGTAGTCACCCTATGATGCCTGTCCCGTCTGGGATGAGTGCAGGATGGGGAGCCCCGTTCTCCATTTCCTGCCTGTCCATGTTGCCTCTTGGAGTGCAGGGGCGGGGCCAGGATTCTGTTGAGCCAAATCTGGGGCCCTGGCCTATAGGAGGTGCAGAGACACAGGGTGTGGCACCCCCAGGTCTTGCCAGGCTCTGGTCCCACAGCCCCCCACTCCCAGTCAGCTGTCTTCAGGATGCCTTTTCTCCCCTACTCTATGCTGTTGTACCTTTCCCAAGAGACTGCCTGCCGCGACCCACCCCTGGGCTCCAAGCTATTCTGAGGCCCTCAAGGCTTGAGGGTGGGGTTCCAGGACAGGCACACTAGTTCATACTAGGCTAGGAGTGACTGATAGACCTCCATAGTTAGTGTTTTCTAAGGGGAGAGGCCCACTGATGAGTCTGGAGCTGAGTCCTGTGTGGCACCTTACACTCGCTACCTGCTTGAATGTAGCCACAGTTCCAGCCTGGGGCCCACTTTCCCCTGCCCTGACATTGAGTGTTCTACAGGGGGTCGGCTGGAGAGGGCCTGAGCTACAACTTCACCCACCTGGACAGGTACCTGGACCTTCTCAGGGAGAACCAGCTCCTCCCCGGTAAGGTCTGCCCTCTCCCCATGACATGGCCCCTCCGGGTCCTCACTGGCTGCCCGCCCAGGACTGGCCTCAGTGCTGGTGTGGCAGAGCCCAGGCCGGATAGAGCGTGGGTCTTGTGCAGGCGGGGGGACGGGGACATGGCTGCCCTCTTCCATTGCAGGCTTTGAGCTGATGGGCAGCCCGTCTGGACACTTTACCGACTTCGAGGACAAGCAGCAGGTTTTTGAGTGGAAGGACCTGGTCTCCCTCCTGGCCAGAAGATACATCGGTGAGCAGGGCACATGCCCCGGGGGAACCGGGTGGGTGCTTCTGGGCAGGCTCTCTTGTGTCACCTGGGCCGCCTCCCTGGTCTTCTCTGTCATGAACCCGCTGAGCCAGGGCCTCCTGAGATAGGGGAGGGAGGCCAGACAGCTTGGGGGTGGGTGCACATGGAACCAGACACTCCCCATTGCCTCCAAACCCCCAGCCGTGGGTGCCTCCCTGGGAGTGGGGTGGGCTGCACTCCCCTGCCCCAGGGGAGGGGCCCGCAGACAGCAGGACCCCTCTGCAGGTAGGTACGGACTTGCCCATGTCTCCAAGTGGAACTTCGAGACGTGGAACGAGCCAGACCACCACGACTTTGACAACGTGTCCATGACCATGCAAGGTGGGTGTGCCTCTGGGGTCCTGTGGAGCTGAGAGGGGTCTGTGGACCCTCAGGCACCAGGGTGTGGACTCTGCGGCCCCTCCTGCCAGGCTTCTTGAACTACTACGATGCCTGTTCCGAGGGCCTGCGAGTGGCCAGCCCAGCTCTGCGCCTGGGCGGCCCTGGCGACTCCTTCCACCCACCGCCGGCCTCCCCGTTGTGCTGGGCCCTCCTGGAGCACTGTCACCATGGCTCCAACTTCTTCACTGGGGAGCTTGGTGTGCGGCTGGACTACATTGCCCTGCACAAGAAGGTGCGCCCAGGACCCCACCCCTCTGCCCACAGGGGACTGCCCTTTCCTGAGCTGATGCCCACCCAGCACCCCCGCCGCTGGCAGCCCCACACCCCCTCCCCTGCCAGCGGCGGTCCCGCCGTGGCCCTGGCCGTGCTGAGCCTGGGCTGTGCTGCAGGGCGCAGGCAGCTCCATCTACATCCTGGAGCAGGAGAAGGCCACCGTGCGGCAGGTACAGCACCTCTTCCCCAGGTTCGCCGACACCCCCATTTACAACGACGAGGCAGACCCGCTCGTGGGCTGGTCCCTGCCGCAGCCGTGGAGGACCGACGTGACCTACGCAGCCATGGTGGTGAAGGTGGGCCCGCCCCCAAGGCCTCTCCACCACAGCGGCCTTCCTCCCGGGGTTGGGGGGTGCGGGGCTGGGGGTGGGTGGCCGTGGTACCAGCCGCTCCTGACGCCCACCCTGCATGCCGGCAGGTCATCGCGCAGCACCAGAACCTGCTGGTAGCCAACGACAGCTCCTCCATCCGATACGCGCTCCTGAGCAATGACAACGCCTTCCTGAGCTACCATCCGCACCCCTTCTCGCAGCGCACGCTCACAGCGCGCTTTCAGGTCAACAACACCCGCCCACCCCACGTGCAGCTGCTGCGCAAGCCGGTGCTCACTGCCATGGGGCTGCTGGCCCTGCTGGGTGAGCCAGCCCTGTGTCCCTGCCTGCTTCCTGCCCACCCGCGCCCGGACGGGAAAGCACAGGCCTCGTGGCACACGCTGCGGCGCGGCCAGGGCACGCCTCAATGAGCGGGGATGTCCTTCCAGGCCCAGGCAGGGGTGCCCTGCGGGGTTGGGGAAGAACAGGCTTCTGCTCTCCGACCTATTTCTGGTCCCTCCGCTTCCCACTTGCCCCAGCTCAGTGGGCCGCAGAGGCTGTTAGTGGCTGACACCTCCAGTGGAGGTGGACAAACGGTGGGAAGCCAGGTCCTGGGGTGGCAGAGGAGCAGTGACCTCCGCACAGTGACCGCCCCCCACTCCCACCCTGCAGACCGTGAGCAGCTCTGGGCCGAGGTGTCGCAGGCGGGGGCGGTGCTGGACAGCAACCACACAGTGGGTGTCCTGGCAAGCGCGCACCGCCCTGCTGGCCCCGTGGACGCCTGGCGCGCCACGGTGCTGGTCTACGCGAGTGACGACACGCGCGCCCATGCCAACCGCAGTGTTGCCGTGACCCTGCGCCTGCACGGGGTGACCCCGGGCCCGGGTGAGCGGGGTCCCAGGGAGGGGGCTGCAGGGAGGGGTCTTGCTGTGGGGAGCGGGGGTGGGTGGGTGGAGGGAGCTCAGGCAGGGTGGGGCCTGGAAGGGGAGGCCCTGCGAGGCATGGCCCCAGCTCTGGCTCCCCAGGACTCGTCTACGTCACGCTCTACCTGGACAACCGGGTCTGCAGCCCACACACCGAGTGGCAGCGCCTTGGCCGGCCAGTCTTTCCCTCCGCAGAGCAGTTCCGGCGCATGCGCGCGGCCGAGGTCGGCGGGCAGGGTGGGCGAGGCGCGGGCAGGGCAGCTGCCAAGGTTCCAGGGCCCTGAGCTCCTGCCCCTGTCCCCAGGACCCGGTAGCCTCAGCACCACGCCCCTTCCCCACCGGCGGCCGCCTGACGCTGCGCCCACAGCTCCCGCTGCCCTCGCTGTTGCTGGTGCACCTGTGCGCGCGCCCTGAGAAGCCGCCAGGCCAGGTGAGTGGCAGCCCCTCCCCATGCCGCTGCCCCCCCCCCCCCGCCTCTCCCTCCACCACCCCCTCAGTCATGGAGCCTAACCCCCCAGGTGACCCGGCTCCGTGCTCTGCCCCTGACCCGCGGGCAGCTGCTTTTGGTCTGGTCGGATGAGCACGTGGGCTCCAAGTGCGTGAGTGGTCACCATCCTGCCCCACCCTGTCCTGCACTTGCCATGTAGGCGGCTCCCACCCCTGTTGTCACCCACAGCCTCTTCATGCTCCCGTGGCCATGTGGCCACTCCACTGTGCACCCCCCATGCAGGCTGTTCGCCTCTGCTCCTCACCACCCCCTCACTGTGTGCACTGCCGGAGATGGCCCGAGGTCACAGCCTGTCTGATGGGGGTGGGGGCACCTACAGGGGACATTTGCAGGTGGCAGTCAGGCTCCAGCCCTCTCCCCTCACTGTGGCCAGGGACCCGGGAGGGGTCAGGTAGGGGCTGGAAGGAAGAGGGCTCAGGGTGCGCCCAGCCCCCCTGGAGCCCAGCTCTGGCCCTGACCCCCTCTTCCTCCAGGTGTCTGTGGACCTATGAGATCCAGTTCTCCCCAGAGGACAAGGGGTACACTCCCATCAGCAGGAAGCCATCAACTTTCAACCTTTTTGTGTTCAGCCCAGGTGCGCCTGCCCCCACCACACTGGCCTCCGCCACCCCACCCCTGGGCCTCAGTACAGTACCCTGTGGGCTGGGTCCAGGCCTCCTGAAGCCTGGAGTCAGGGGCTTTAGGAGTTTGGGGTGGGTTCAGGGGGGCCTGTGCTCAAGGATGCAGGTGTACCTTTGTGTTTCCAGACACAGTTGTCGTCTCTGGCTTCTACCGGGTTCGAGCTGTGGACTACTGGGCCCGGCCAGGCCCCTTCTCAGACCCTGTGCAGTACCTAGAGGTCCTTGCCACGTGAGGGCCACCACTGCCCAGTGACTGAGCCTGTGCTGACCAGCGGACCCAGCGGCCAGGAGCGGAGGCAGGCTGGACCACCACGGGCCCATCAGCTCGTCTTCAGCTCTGTTTGTCCCCTCCTGTCCACTCACACACCCCCTTAAAGTGCCTTTCCATATGTTGGTCTTGGGGTTGGCCTTTGTGGATGGGCACCGGACAGATGTGCCCGGCTGGAGCAAGGCCTTTTCCACCTCCTTCCCATTCAGAGCGCTCTCCCCGACCTGTGGGGCTGGGGTGGAAGTGGGTTGAGCACAGTCAGGCCTGAGCTCCTCAGGGAGGAGCAGGTCTGGCGTCTCTGGCGTCATTGCTGGGTGCTGCAGACCCTGTTCCCAGCCCTGCCTCTCTACCTGTTCTGCGGAGCTGAGGCTGCGCCGGGGGTGCACCTGGGTCAGGATGGAGCCCAGGGAGGACCCACTTCCTGAGACTGGGGGAAGGTGGAGGGTGGAAGGTAGAGGGGAAGGTGGGGCTTCCAGGCTGCTTGGCCCAGACTGGGCAGCGGCAGAAAAGGCCCACAGTGTCCACTGCGGGCTATGCCCCCGCCGTCATTCTCCTTCCATATCTGGCCCCAGAAGGAAACAGCTGGTGTGCTCAGAGGAGGACAACTTGGGGATGTGTGTAGATATGTGGGCAGGGCAGGAAAGCCACAAGGGGGGCGCCCCAGAGCAGACGGAGCAGATGAAGGACAAAGGTGAGGAGACGCCACCTGGTGAGGAGTAGAGACCTTGGGCCCAGGGACACAGCCAGCCGGGGGGCGTGCAAGCAGGAGTGGGGCAAGGAGGCCCCCATCCCACTCTCCTCCTTCCACTGCCCTCCGGGGTTGCCCTGGGCTCAGGGTGAGTGTGGGATGTGGACCTGGATGGGCAGATGGAAAACAAGGCCTAGTCGACCCTCTGGCTCCTGCGCACCTGCCGGGTCCATCTGTGTGGAAAGCTCAGGGGCCTCCAAGACCCGCCAGCTGCCTCACCCTGAGTGGGAGGTGTCCATTTGTCACACTCCTATCTGAACCCCAAAGCCAGCACCTGTTCCCCAGCCTCTTTCCCCACGTGGGGCCTCAGGGCTCCGTGCCTCCGTCTTTCTGGGGGCCCCAGTCCTTGTGTGTCTGGGGACCGTTGTTCACTGACGTCACTGCACAGAGGGGCAGTGGGGGTAGCTGGGAGGCCCCCTGGGTTCCGGGCGCTGTCTTCTGCCCCACCATGAAGCCCTGGCCTGGTCGGCTCAGCTCCTGTAAATAAAGACCACAGCCCAGGCGGCGCCAACCACAGACGTTTAGCTCCCCATGGTCTGGCAGCCGGAAGTCCAAGACCAAGGTTGGTTTCTTCTGAGGCCTCTCCGTGGCTCCCAGTGTGTGTCTGCGTCCTGATTGCTTCTCACAAGGACGTCAGTCATGGGATCAGGGCCCACTTGCTTGACCTCATTTGAACCACCCTGTTGAAGACCCTGTCCCTCGTTATGATCACATTCTGAGGTGCTGGGGTTTAGAACTTCAACGTCTGCGTTGGGGGGTACAGCTCAGCCCGTACCAGGCTCTGACCCATTTGTCTGTGGGCTCAGGAGCCGTCGTTGGAGTGGTGAAGTGGCCTCTTCTCCACCTGCTGGTTCAGCGGCCTGAGGACCCCCTATGGTCAGTACTGGGAGGGTGCCCAGGTCCTTCCTCGGACACCAGGGGCTTCACACCCGCCGAGTGGGAGCCACCAGGGCAGCACGGCCGCCCGCTCTGCCCTCCCTCCAGCTCCATGTGTGCTGGCTTTGGGCAAAGCAGCAGTACATTCAGATCTGCGCCTCTGCTGGGTCAGAGCAACCTGTGTAGATGTACCTGCTGCCCCCAACCGAGTCCCAGCACCACACACTGTGCCTCTTGGAAGTGGGCAGTAGGGGGCCTGGCCCAATGGCCTAGTGGTTAAATTTGGCACACTCTGCTTTGGTGGCCTGGGTTCAGTTCCCAGTGTGGACCTACACCACTCGTCAACCATGCTGTGGTGGTGGCTCACATACAAAATATGGGAAGATTGGCACAGATGTTAGCTCAGGGTGAATCTTCCTCAGCAAAGAAAAAGAAGTGGGTGGTATAAGGTAAAACAGCTTACTTCACTTTAAATAGGACATCCCAACATTTCCCAGACCGTGGGATCCCTAAAACCTCCCTAGAGGCTCCTGGATTTCCACAGGGTTTCTCTCCCACCTGCTGTGGGCTCGAGTCTCACTGAGACATCAGGGTCCCTCTCATCCACCCAGTCACCCAGTCCAATTAGCATAAAGTCATGAAGGAACTAGGATCCTCTGGGTCACGTTAAGACAGTGGGAGTGTTGGTGCCATCGAGGCCAATGGTGAAGGGTGCTGACATCCCCGTCATGTGAGGCACGCTGCTGCTGGTTTCTTCCCGCATGGGGATGGGAAAGAAGGTGTTTGCCTGGTGAGCTGTGGCAGGTGCCATGGGCCGATGCCTCCAGTAGATCCGCGTCCGTCCAGTCCTCAGCTGTGATGGGCGTCACTGAGGGTCACGTTGCGGTCCTCTGTCATTCAACACCCAGCTGGCACGTTATATAGAGTACACGGAGGCGGGCCCCTGCATCTGCATAGTTTCTGATGTTGGAACTAATCTCTGCAGTGTCCCAGAAATGTGTTATTTTTGTGTGGCAAGGAGGGACAGGCCCCTGGGATTCCATAATAGCCCTTCCTCCACAGGTCGGGGGACCAATGTGGGGATGCTGCCACTGGGTACATACGAGTGTCCCACTCTACATTCTGGGGTCAAAGCCCTTGGCTCATGGACTCAGGCCAGTGCTTGTCGACTGTCAGGTCCCTCCAGCCCCGTCCCCCCAGTGACGATGGTTTCTAGGTGATGAGTTGGCATCAGTTCAGAGCCATTATCCGAGAACCCCCAGGAGGTCGGGTCTCCTCTCCTCAGGGCAGTACCTGCAAATGGCCACAGGTGCCCCTTAGAGATTTGGGAATATTCGGAGACCGTGTTGTGGGTTCTTCTTCAGGGGACCTGGCCTCCCCCTCTGTCAAGGGCTCTGGCTCCATGAATGGGCTTCAGTCTGGGACCTGGGCACGAGGCCCCAAGCCTCCTACGACGGGCGGTGGCGGAGGACGGCCTGCCAGCCCTATGGTGTTTCCCCCGCACGTGCTTCAGGCAACACTTCTGAAGCTGCTTGCTTGTTTCATTTCTTGGGACCCTGCATGCGATCGGTCATCTCGTGTTTGCTGAGGACCCTTGAGGGTCCATTGTGCAAGAAATGTGAGTCACCTGGGTGTTGTTAAACTCAGGTCTGACTTGCTAGTCTGTCTGGGGTGGGCCTGAGGCTGCATTTCCGACAACAGGTGCTGCTCATCCACACACGGGCACAGCAGGCCCCATGGTGTGCGGGGACATGGCCGCAGGCTGGGTTGAGGCAAGCCCCCAGCCTCCTGACCACTAACTCCACTCCCAGGGGCTCAGGCCTGCCCAGCCCCATGCCCGTCCGTCGCTGCACCCACTGCACCTGCGTGTTCCGTGGTGGAGGTGGCTGCCATGCTGCTCCCTGGCTCCCACAGCACCATCAGGGAGGTCTGGGGTGCATCTTCCTTGGAGAGCCATCCATCATGGCTGTGCTGGGATCTCATCTTCTTTTGCTTCTGGCAACAGAGAAATGGCCAAGGCGCAGACGTGGCAGGCTTTAGCCGGGGGTGGGGTCCCCCAGTGAGGGGACCCGACGGTTTCCATCTCCTGCCTGTCTGTCCTGTGTCCTTCCCAGGTCTCAGGTGCCCCACCCTTCCTTGCTTGTTGCCATTCATCAGCAGACAAGGGCCTCGGGCTGCAGCCTGTAGAACCGGGCCCTGGGCACGGCCCTGTGGCCACGGAGCCCCTGACCCCCACGTGCCCTCGGCTCTCAGCTTCGCCACTTCCCATTCAAGGGAGGAGGAGGGACGCCCAGTCTTCAGAAGCACTGCTGTTGCCGTAGCAACCAGCCCCCTGTCTTCCACCTGCACTTGGCCAGCCTGGTAATTGGAGTAGCTGCGATGCCGGTTCCCACGCACAAGGTCAGCCCTGGGCCCCTCAGATCTGTGAGCCGCCCGATGCCAGAACCCTGTGTGGAGAGTGTGTTCTGGGGCCACTTCTGCTGCTGATGGCCCCACCGGCCAGGGCCCTGGCAGGGAGGACACGCGTCCCAGTGGCCAGAGCTTCAGGGCTGGGCCTGGTTGCAGGGGTGGGTCAGGGAAAGCCCCAGGGAGCCTTGTGCAGGGATTTGGGCCGCGGGGAGGCGGACAATACCCCTCCCAGGCGTGAAGGAGGAAGAGGGCCTGAGACCTCTGACCCCACCACAGACCCCGTCCAGGTTGTGCATAGAACAGACCCAAGCGGAAGCCAAGGCCAGGCAGAGGAGCTGGATGCCTCCACACACCTGGGCCTGACCCCAGCCCAGCACAGGGAGGGGTGGCAGTGGGACTGGGCTCGAGGGCTCAGTGGGGGGCAGAGGAGGAGGGAGAGGAGCCCGGCCTGTCTCAGGGCCACAGGGGAGTCGAGGGGCAGCAGAGAGGGAGGCCGTCCTGAGCCTGGGACCCTCACCTGCAGCCCAGAGTGGGCACGGGGTCAGCTTGGGCAGTGGGGGGTGTGGAGGGAGGGCAGCCCCTGGCCTGATGCAGCCTCGTGAGTGCCCCAGCCTAAGAGAGGCCCTGGGTGCAGCTGTCGGGGTGCGTATACCCCTGCTTAGATGTCACCACGGAGGACAACACCTGCTCTTCCTCTTGGGGTGCAGCCCAAGCACCAGACACCAGGTCAGAAATCCCCCTGGAGCCTCCCGGGCTGGGGCCCAGCTGGGTTGGCACAGGAGAGGGGCCGCCTGTAGGATGGTCTGAGTGGCCCTTCTCACCAGGACCGAGGTGGCTTCAGACAGCCCCGCGAGGTGGCCAGAGCCCCGTTGCCTGCCCTTGTGCCCAGCAGGGCCTGCCTGGGCCTCAGCGCCAGCTCGTAGAGCAGTGGGCCCCCAGGCAAGGTTGTGCATTGGAGCCATGCGGGAGGGGCCCGCGGGTGCCAGCATTGCCCCAGCTCCTGCCTCCAGCCCAGACCACTGCCCTCAGGAGAGCAGCCCTGGGCCGGTGGCAGTGGCAGCCGGGCTTCTCCATCAGGGAGGCTCGTCCACCCATCAGCCTTGGGCAGGATGGCCTGGCCTTGAGCAAGATCCACTCAAGGGTTCAGGGATGAGTGTCTGCAGGGGACCGGGGCCCCATCTCGGCAGGAGTGCTGGTCAGCGCCAGAGCTGGTAGGGCTCTTCTTGGCCTACTGTCCTGTCCAGCAGCCACGCCCACGAGCTCTGGCCACGTCCTGTGACAGCCAGCTGTGAAGCAGGACTGTGTCACCCACACCTGGTGAGCCCCTCGGAAGGAGACTGGCTCTTCTGAGCTCACCCCTCAGAGGGGCTGCCCACCCTAGTGTCTGTGACCGAGAGTCACCCGTAGCACCCCATGGGTCCCTTGAAGAGGAAGGAGTGAGTGGGTCCCGGTCCTTGCAGGCAGTGGGTCAAGAGCAGGTCCGGGAATGAGGCCAGCCTACGCTCTGATGAGGGAAAAGCTCCAGTGAGGTTCTCGAGTTGACAGAGCAGGAGAGGAGGTGAAGCAGAAGAGAGTGCGGTGTGCCTTAATCAGTCTACGGCGCTTTACACCCCACTCAGAGGTTTGCGAACTCACTCAGCAAACACTGATGGAGGGTCTGTGCGCCCGTCAGCCCAGTGGCCTTCCTGACCCCTCCACGGAGGCCTCTCCCTTGTCTTTCTAGCACATCGACCTGGTTTGCCTTTTTAAGAAAATAACACCTTTATGGAGGTACAATTGACACAATAAACGGCACTGTTTAAAACGTACGGTTTGGTACGTGTTGACGTGTTACATCCGTGAAAGCGTGACCACAGTCTGGAGAGTGAACATGCCCCCGGAATCCACCTGCCCCAGGGGGCCCGGAGCTGCTCGATCACTGCAGGATGTTGTGCAAATGGCCTGCTCGGTGCACTCTCCTTCACTGACTTCTTCCGTCAGCATGCTTGTTAGGAGAGTCACATGTGCTGTTCTGAGCGTCTGTAGTTCACCCTTTTATCGCCCCCTGGGCTCTGCTGCATGACACAGAACAGGTGTTTGCCCACTTGCTTGTCGGTGGGCATCTGGGTGGTGTCCAGTTCGGGGTTAGCACAGAGAAAGCTGCCATGAGCATGTGTACAAGTCTGCGTGTGGACGTGCGCCTTCCGTTCTGTTGGGTAAACACCAGGAGTGGGAGGACTGGGTCAGGTGTGTGCTCAGCTTCCACAGACCCTGCTGAGCTGTGGTGCAGGTGGCGGTGCCGTGGTACGCACCACCAGCAGTGTGTGGAAGTTCCAGTCGCCGCACACCCTCCAGCGATGCCTTTTAGATGTTGCTCTTGCATCTAGCTGTCTGCAAAGTGTGCTGCTATTATTGGTCCTAGTGGTTTTTTTCTTGTAGATTCTATAGAATTTTTTGCTTAGATCATTTACGAATCAAGAGTGTTTTACTTCTTTCTTTCCAATCTGAACTGTCTGGAACCTCCAGGACAGCGCTGGAGAGCGGGGCAAGAGTGAGCCCGTGGCTGCTTCTGGCCTCAGGAAAGCGTTAGTCTTCAACGACCACGTGTGGTGTTCGCTGTAATGTTTCCGTTGGTGCCTGTATCAAGTTGGAGATGTCCTTCTCCATCCAGCCTAGTTTGCTGAGAGGTGTTTTTCTAAAAATCAGAATGGATGTTGGATTCTGTCCAGGGCTTTTTGTGTGACCATTAAGATAACAGTATGGTCAGTCTTTCCGTTAATATGGTAAGTTACATTGACGATTTCCAAGTGTTAACCCAACTTGCACCCCTGGGATAAACCCCACTTTACTGTCATGTGTAGACTTTTTTTATGTTGTTGAACGTGATTAACTGAAATTACAAACATTTTGCATCTGTGTCGACACATTGTTCCGCAGGCCTCGGTTGTCGTCATGTGGCGTTGGCGTCACAGGAGTGCAGGCTCGGGGCCGCATCCGCACCGCCCCTCCCTCCCTCCCATCCCCAGCGGAGCGCGTGCAGAACGGCTGTCACTTCCTCCTTACGTGTACTGTAGAATCCTCAGTGACGCCATCTGTCAGGAGGTTTTTAACTAAAAACTCAAGTTATTTGATAGATATATTCAGGTTATTGATTCCTTCCAGAGGGAGCTTTGCTAGTTTTTGTTTTTCAGTGAATTTGTCCATTCTGAGCTGTCAAATTTGTTGGCATAAAGTTATTCCTAACATTTCCTGTTACTCTTTTAACGTGTGTCGAATCTGCAGTGATGTCCTCTCTCTCATTTCTAACATCCATAATTTGTGTCTTCTCTCTTTTTCTCCAGATCCATCTGTAAGGGTTCTGTTGATCTTCTCAAAGAACCAGCTTTGGTTCCGTTAATTTTCTTTGCAGTTTTTCTGTTCTCTGTCTCGTTGACTTCAGGCATGACCTTTACTATTCCCCTTCTGCTCACTCTGGGTTTCACTCTTCTCATTTTTCCTCGTTTCTTTGGATGGAATTTGAGGTCACTGATTTGAGACCTGTCCCCTCTGACACAGGTGTTTTAGAGCTATACATTTCTCTCTAAGTACGGCTTTGACTGCATCCCACACTTTTTGATATATTGTCTTTCCATTTCCATTCGGTTCAAAATAATTTTTAATTTTCCTTCTGTTTTCTTCTTCAATACATGGGAAATTAAGAAGTGGATTATTTGGTTTGCTAATATTTGAGGAGTTTTCCAGTTATCTTTTTGTTAGTGATTTCTAATATAATTCCAATGTGATCAGATAACAGTCTTTGCATGACTTGAATTATTTTAAATATTTTGAGACTTGTGCCCCAGAAAATGTTGGACTGTTCTGTAAATATCAATCAGGCCAAGTTAGTTGGTAGTGTTGTCCAAGTCTTCTCTATTCCTCATGGTTTTCTGTCCACTTTTTGAATCAAACATTGGGGAAGGAGCATTGAAACCTCTGAGCATAACTGTGGATCTTCCAGTTTCTCCTGTTCAGGTTTTGCTTTATGGACTTTTATGATCTGTTGGTAGGTGCATGCACATCTAGGGTCATTAAGTGCTTCTGATCATTTTCAGTTTGTTACTATGAAATGACCCTCTTCATTCCTGGTGATCCTTTTGCTCTGAACTCTACTTTGCCTGATATTAATGCAGCCACTCGAGCTGGTTTCTGATTTGTGTCAGCACAATTTATCTTTCCCATCTTTTACTTTTAACCTGTTTATGTCTATATTTGAAGGCGGCATATAGTTGAATCTTGCTTTTATTCCCAATTTATAACTTCTGCCTTTTAACTGGGATGTTTAGATCATTTACATTTAGTGTGATTATTGATATGGTTGGGTTTAAATCTACTATCTTGCTCTTTGTCTCATCTGTTCTTTTCCCCCTCTTTTTCTGCTTTCTTTTGGGATATTATTTTTTTTAAATGTACTCCATTTGTCTCCTTTGTTGCCTTATTAGCTGTAATTCTTGGTTAGGTTATTTGCGTACTTGCTTTGGGATTCACACTATGCGTCTTTCACTTGTCAGTGTCTGTGTCAGGTGGTACCATCGCATCACACGTGTAGTAAGAGAACCTCCCGGCCTTTCTGTGCTTGGGTCGTACACTTTACTTTTTCATGTGATATAGACCTCACAATACATTGTTGTGATTGTTGCTTTAAACAGTTGATTCTCTTTTAAAGAGATTTAAATAAGAGAAGAATGTCCCTGAGAGTAGCTCAGGTAGTTACCATTTCTGGTGCTCTTCATTTCATGTTTCCATCTGGTACCATCGTCCTTCTGCTTGGAGGACGTCCTTTAGCATTCCTTGTGGTATAGATCTGCTGCGGACTAATTCTTCCTGCTGCCTATGTCTGAAAAAGTCCTTATTTCACTTTTGTTTTCAAACGACTTTTGCTAGAAAAGAATAGAGGATGACAGGTTTTCTTTTTTCATTGTTTCCAAGATACTGCTCCACTGTCTTTTTGTTTGCATTATTTCCATTCAACAAGACATCAACAAAACATTCTTTTCTTTGTGTCTGTATACAAAATGTATCTTTTTTACTCTGGATGCTTTTAAACTATTCTCTTTATAACTGGTTTTCAGCATTTTGAAAATGATGGATGTGTGTTGGTGTAGTTTTCTTCGTGTTTCTTGTGCTTAAGTTTTGCTGAGCTCTTGAGAACTGTGGTTTATGTTTTTCATTACATTTGGAAAAATTCTGGCCATTTTTCTTAAAATAGAGTTTTCTTTTCCACCTCTATCTCCTTTCTTTTAGGGACTCAAACTCCACTTGTATCTCACCACTTGAAGTCGCTCCACAGCTCGCTGATGCTTTATTCATTTTCTTCAGTCATTTTTCTCTCTGTGTTTGATTTGGATAGTTTCTACTGCTATGTCTTCAAATTCACTAATCTTTTCTTTTGCAGTGTTGTATTAATTCCATTTAATGTATTCTTTACCTCAGACATTGTAATTTTCATCTTAGGAATTCAATTTGAGAGCCGGCCCTGATGGCCTAGCGGTTAAAGTTGGGCACGCTCCACCTCGGCAGCCCAGGTTCAGTTCCTGGGTGCGGAACCACACCACCTGTCTGTCAGCAGCCATGCTGTGGTGGCTCACAGAGAAGAACCAGAGGAACTTACACCTATACACAACTATGTCCTGGGGCATGGGGTGGGGGGAGGAAAAAGAACGGAGGAAGATTGGCAACACGTGTTAGCTTAGGACAAAACTTACCCTGCAAAAAGCAAAACACCAAAAGCCAAAAAAACTTATCCCTTGATCTAAAAAAAAACAAAGAAACTCAACTTGAGGCTTGAAAAAAATCTTCCCTGTCTCTACTTGACATATTCAGTCTTTCCTGTAGCATCTTGAGCATACGAAATACAGTCACAGTAAGTGTGTGTGATGTTCTCATCTACTAATTCTATCATCTTTGTCATTTCTGGGTTAGTTTTGATTGATTCTCCCCCTCAGTATGGGTTGTAATCTCCTTTTCATGCCTAATAAGTTTTGGTTGGATGTCAAATGCTATGTGTTCTACCCTGTTGGGTGCTGGAGAGTCTTGTATTCCTAGAAATATTCTTGCGTTTGTTTCTGGGATGCAGTTAAATTACTAGGAGACTGTGTGGCCCTTTTGGGTCCGTTAAGCTCTGTTGAGCAGACCAGAACTACCGGTGGTCTGGGGTTGATTTTTCCTGCTGCTGAGGTGAGACCCTTCTTTCTGCTCTAACCAGTGCCCCCTGAACCACGAGGTTCTCGACTCTGGCTCTCAGACAGGGCACTGCTCCCCTCGTGTGGGCTCTCATCCTCCCTCCGGTGGCTCTCCCTCCAGCTGGGGCTGGTTTCTTCTCACGCTTGTATCAATTTGTACTCAGTTGAAGCCTTGATGATGAGCCTCTGTGGACCTCCCGGGTTCCATGTCTGCTCAGCTCTCTCCTCTCCAGGACTCTGCCTTGGCCTCCCGGGACTGCCCCTCTGTCCCCTCCACTGGAGGAGGCCTCTAGCTCTGGCTGGGTCCCCATTGTCTGCACCATGGCGTAGAGACTCTCTCCAGGCAGGGAGCATGGACGATCGTGGGGCTCCCCTCATCTGCTTCCCTTCTCTCAAGGACCACCGTCCCTTGTTGGGTGGTGTCCAGTGTCTCGGGTACTGTTTTCACGTATATTACTCTCTGCCTTTTTTTTTTTTCTTTTCGCTATTTCAGGTGAGAGCATGTAAATCTGGTCCCTGTTATGTCATCTGGAGCAGAAGCCTGTGTATCAGCCAGTTTCAATTCCCTGCCAAGCACTGTCCACCACCTGAGGCATTTCTTGTCAGTCCCT